GCTCCCTTATGGATCCACTCATCATCTCTAGGACTTTCCAAATCAAAATACTCTCCTTTGGACTCCTCTTGGTCATCTATTTTCTCCCCTTTTTAAAAGGTAAGCTCCTTGCAGGCAGGCACTGTTTTAGTATACATATCCCTAGTGTTTAGCACAGTGCATGGCACATAGTAAGTGCTTAAATAAATGCTTTCTGATTAGTTCATGTTTGATAAAATAAATTGCAACAGCTCCTTTATTTAGCTTTCCATAAAGAAGCTGTGAGCCATCCTTCTATTTTGATGTATTTCGGTCCCAATACATCAAGGATCTTCCTTTTCTGATCACATTACAGTCCTGTTGGTGCTATTTACACAGACTGCACATAGCCTTAGGTTAACCACACTTCTGTCCTTCACCCTTTAGAATACTATTTGTAACTCTGATGACCATGACACATTTTATACTTCATGGCCACACCACATGACTGAGCAATCATGGGTATTAAAAACATAGGCTTTTCTGACAGCAATCATACAAGAGACTGTCAACAAGTGCTGCTTTGGCTATGACATCTATTTATTATAGTTAAGCCTTCAGAATGTGACAACCACTACATACCCTGCAACAAAAAAATTATTCTTTGATATTCACCTGCAGGGAATAAAGTAATATTATTCTGAACTATGCATGATATGGGCTGAGGTTTCCCACTCTTGGCATAAAACAATCTTGAATTACCCTTTTACTAAGAAAACACTTGATAAAAAAAGCAATTATACTTACCATTATAGAGAGTGAAGGCAAGCAGACATGGATACTTTGCAAACTGCATCAAGGGAGGGCTTAAAGTATTGCAGTAAAGGCCACATACAATCAGATAGAGGAGAGCCATATAAACCTGCACGGAACTGGATGTACTGTATCATAGGCAAATGTTTATGCAGGCTAGGCATTCTGCTCACATGGCTGTCAAGACTTAGATTAATGTCCTGGTTGTTTTACTTTTCTCAGCCACTCACTATATTTGATTTCATTCCTTTGTACCTGAAGTAACAGGGAAGGGGTAGAGAAGATAGCAACGACCACCAAAAATGCACATAGTAGGCATACGATAACTTATACTTTTGTGGAACTTTGTGCTTTTTCACAGGAGTCCTGTGAAGTAGGAACAGTAGCCCCCCAATTTTATAAAGAATTTATATGTTAATGACAAAAGAAATTAAAGTCACAAACACTGGCAAAGGGAAGACAAAATCATCCCTATTTGTAGAAAATGTTTTACTTAGAAAAGTCCAGAGAATCAGCAAAGAAACAGATACTAGCTTCAGCAAAGTAGCAGTACACCAAAAAGATGCACAAAACTAGCACCATTTCTGTGTAGCAACAGCAAAATCGAGGAGCACATTTTAGAAAGGGAAGGGAGATGCTCTTATTCAAAATGACTAAAAAACCAAGAAAATATCTGGGAGTCCATCCACCAAGACATACACAAGAACTTATATAAATGCCAAAAATAAAACATTATCTAAAGAATTAGAGAATGATGAACAATTAGAAGGATATTCAACGCTCACTGCAGCAATTTAATAAAAGTACAACCTAGATTACTTCTCATATTTAGTGGTATGCCAGTCAAATAACCAAGGGATTACTTTATAGAGCTCTACAAAATTAAAAAAAAATCATTTGAAGCGTTAGAATTTCAAAGGAAATGATGAAAAAAAAAAGGTAGAATTGGAAGAGCAACAGCATTACCAGACCACAAACTACATTACAAGACTAATAATTTAAAATAAAAAAAACAGAAAAACATTCCAGGGGAACAGACTAGATAAGCAAGATTCAGAAACAAATTCAATCACACATGACTTGATAACCTCAGACATAAGCTACTTGGAAAAGAATTCTCTATTTGACAAGAACTTCTGGTGAAACTAGGAAGTAGTCTGATAAACTTGTTAAAATGTATATCACTTAAAAAAATCAGAGGAGAATGGAAGCTGATGACTTTCACAACTCTGGCACAGGACAGAAAAGGTCACAAGGGCTAGATAGTTTTGATTATGGGAAATTGAAAAGCTTTTGCACAAAATTAGAAAATTCTAAGGGTCTGACATAATAGCTATCACTTACATAGTGCTTACTATGTGTCAGGTGCTATGGGAAACATTTTATAATCATTATCTCATTGGATTCTCACAATCCACTGTGTGTGTGTGTGTGTGTGTGTGTGTGTGTGTGTGTGTGTGTGTAAGTAAAAGACAATGGAGATGAAAATCCTATCCTTAGCCTCTTCATTCCTTTCCCACTGGAATCCGCATAAGGCATCTAACGCCACTTCCGGGCCATTTCCATACTATAAGGCCAGTCCTATATTCCCCCTCATGTTGTAGCACACCAAATGAATGTGAGCTCCTTTGGACAGCAGGGGCTAGCTATCTTTTTTTTTATTTGTCCCTGGAGCTTAGTACTGTGAGTGTCCTTCTTGCTACGTTCAAAAGAATTACAAATCATAAATAACCACTGGGAAGATTACTTCAAATCACTAGTAATAAAAGAAATGCAAATCAAAACAGCTCTGAGGAGTCACCTTCCACCCATCAAATCTGGAAAGATGACAAAGGGTGGAAATATGTCAGATGGATTATGGGAAGAGAGTCTCATGAATATTTTTGTGCAGCTGTGAATTGGTTGAATGGTTCTGGCAAGTAATTTGTAATTATCTTAAGGAAGTGTCTAAAATGTCCATATCTTTTACCCCAGATATCCCATGGTGCGGTATATATCGTAAGGAGGTCAAAGACAGAGAGAGAGGTCCCATGTACACCAACATAGTGATAGAGGCACTTTTTGGGTAGTAGCAAAGAACTGGCAACAAGGTAGGCGTCTATACATTGAGTAACAGCTAAACAAATTATCGTACATCTATGTAATGGATATTACTATAATAAAAAAACAAGCAACATGACAAGTCAGAGAAGCATGGGAAAACTTGACCAAGCCTGGCCCCAGAGAAAAGTTGAAAGAATGTACTTCCTTCCTTTCACTGCAGAGGTGAGGGGCCATGGTTGTAAAACGATATACATACATCAGGCATGGAGAAAGTGGTAGACGATTTTGTTGAACTGCACTTCTTCCATCTTTCCTTTAAAGTCTTTGTTGCAAGGGATGGACTTGATCAGAAGGGAAGACAGATATTCAGAAATGCATGTGATATAAAAGTTATTAATAAAACTTTAAAAATGCTAATGACAAACTTGACAGGAAATGGTTCAAGATACACCATTCTAAAAAGACATTTGAAAAGAAATCTGGCATTTGAAATTTTGCTATTCATCCCTTTAGAGCTGGAAGTTACCAATCTCCTCATTGCACAAATGAGGAAACTGAGGCTCAAGAGGGCCCAAGTGATTTACCCCCGGTCACACAACTCCTAAGAGGAAGAGCTGAGAGTCTGACCCTGGTTCCAAATCCAGCACTCTTTCAATGCTGCCTGGTGGGTTTGTTCTAGGTAGCTCTCCTTCTGCTCCTTCTGAAAGAAAGTAATCCAGGAGACTTTCTTGTTTTCTGCCAATTCAATTCAATCAGCACTTTTAAAGATGTCTATGGATATGACAGGTATAGGGAGCTCAGGGAGGTGGAGAGAGAGACAGCAGGAATATAAAGATCCGTAAAATAGGGTTCCTGCCCTCAAGGATTTTCCAGTCTACATTATACATTCTATAATACTACCCTTAAAAAAGTGTACGTATGCCTTATCAGAAAATAAATTCAGGTTACTATATAAAACATCTCTTCCTGAGAAACTTTAGTCTTCTCCCAATCATTTTAAATGTTTTTTTTAAAACCTTTTTTTTTTTTAAAGATACATTCTGGTGATGTGTGGATAAAGTTCATTTACACAGGATTCCTACAGTTTAAATCCTTCAAGCATTGTTTTCAATGAGTGATAACAACAGTTATAAATAACATTCATATTTACATAAAAAGATTTACTGTTTATAAAACACATTTTAACACACGATGGGAAATGTTACCTTGGGTTTTACAGAAGACGAAAGGAGCTCCACGAGGATTGAGAGACCTGAGGCTTATCCTGGGAGGGAGACTTACTTGATTTATTTCATATTAATTTTATATATCTCTATATAGAGATATATACACACATATATATATAAAATATACATGTACATATCTATCTATCTATCTATCTAATCTATATCAATATAGATGCTGTCTTCTAGAATAGCACATAAGCTCCTTGAGAGGAGAGAGAGATTTATTTTTAAAAACCTTTGTATTCCCAGTGCTTGGCACATCGGAAGCACTTAGTGCCTGATATGCTGGGGGTTAATTTTGTTTTGTTTTAAAACAAGTTGGAGAGAGTTTAAGGTACTATGCATGTCTTCAAATAGATGAAATGGTCAAGGAGAACATAGGCCTGGAAGAGAGATTTCCAGCCAGGGAGTAAAAATGACAGGGAGGCAGAGCTCTGGTTAAGCAATCACTTAAAATAAACTGGAACTTTTCAGAATTGGAAAAGAGGCGTTGTGAGGCACTGTGAACTGCCCATCACTAGAACTATTCCAGCAGAAGCTGGACGTGTAAGGGGTTCAGGGGTTCCTCAATCATGTGGGTGCTTAGACGGGATGAGCCCTGAAAGCGTACAATAAATACGCCCTCTAGAAATTCAGAAGAAATTACTATACAGAATGGGAAAGGATACATGTCTACTCTCTACCATCCTATTACTTTTCAAAGAATACTTTCACAGAACATGCAGCATATTGCCAATTAAAAGACAAATCTACTTCTCCACCACTAATGATCAAGCTAAGTTTGTCATGTGTTATCTGTATAATGGAAAAGTGGAAGACCAAAGGTATCATTTCTGTTATGTCTTATCTGACATGGTAAGAAATAGTCAACATCAAAGGAAAAAAACTTGACAAAAGTAGTCAAAACCCTAGAAATGTTTCTTTAAAAACAGCTTTAGGTAATGCACACAGATATAAATACATCGTTCATTAAATACAACTCACATCTGGGTTTTATTATACTCCGTAAAATATACATGAATCTTGATGTGCCGAAAGAGTGCAAGTAAATACAGTATTCAAGCAGTCACTATTTCTATGTACATGCTCATTAATTCTTCAAAAACCCCACAAAATTATCAAATAGATCAAAATACTGTTCTGTGTTTTCACACTTTATGTTCAGAAAACCAGCTGATAATTTACAATTTCATTAAGGTTTCCAGTTTCAAAATAAAAAAAGGATAAAATGAAATTTGCTGCAACTTACTGTACTCTCTCTGGACATTCAAGATGGTCTTGCATGTCTCTGAGCAATTTCACTTGAAAAGTGAGTTACGGTTAAAGCAGAACCGAATAAAGTCGTTAACAGCCCAAACCTCAGTTTTCTTTTAAAAGTCATGAAACCCTTTTCCATTTGTCAGGAAATTTCTGGCAGACTCTACCCCCTTCCTCCTTCTTCCCCTCAACAGTGGTGTGTTATAAAACACACATCCAAACAGGACCCACATGTTTGTGTTCATATAAAAAAAAAATGTTGTACAACAAATAATTCTTCCAAAGAACCTGACATTATACCTTTGGATAATAGGGATATTCTTTTTTGATTTTTTTTTATCATACTCCAAGATTTAAATAATGCAAAACAAATGCAATGAGGAGGCATAAAAATAATTTCAATAATCAATGTACATGTTATAAAAAAGTGGATGAGTTGCTGGAAAAAAAATTCATTTCCCAGGACCAGACGGACAGCTGCAATAGGGTGTCATGAAATGACCTTCAAATTTGCATTAAGTTTCACTCTCCCCTAGTAGAAGTCTTTTCAGCTTATTTTAAACAACAACAGCTCAATTTTAAATTTTAAACTTAACCATCTAAAACTGTGCAACAATAATTGTCTTGGACTCCCTCTCCCTCCATTTTTTTTACACTATACATGTATCACCCTGACTGCATCAGTTAGCTGGTTTTCAATTTTAACATTATAAAAGTATGACAATTTTTCTTTAAAATTTTTATCTAAAAGAAAAAACAAAACTTAAAAATACATCTGCTTTCTCTCATTGTACATTTAAATACAGTGTCAGAAGGCTTTCAGATTTTTGCTTATTTTTTTTTAAATCAAACTTAAAACCAAATTTGAACTTCATTGTTTTAGAAATATTAAAGTTTGGTTTAGAGAAGTTTTCAATTAACCTATTCCAGTTTCCACAAAAAGTTATTAGATTAAAAAACCCTTAAGTTATTTGGTCCTTTGGCAATTTGCTGTGCAACAATGCCTACTGTACCAAACTTTTATTGCCTTCAGATTTAATTAGTTTTATTGATAGGATTTTAAATGTAGTGTCCTTTTTTCTTGTACAATAGTGTTGCTTGTCTACACAGACTAGCATGTACAGTGTCCCAAAATTATGCCTTGTACCTCAAAACCAAATTAAACCAAGTTGTTTGATGTTACTTTTAGCTCTGAATTTCAAGTCCACTTCAGAGCTTTATCTAGTAGCTCCTTTTGCAAAACTTGGCTTTAAAAATCTTCCTCTACATGTCAGAATGCAGACCATCCACCATGAGCCCTTTTCCTTCAGGCCGGTTTTGTATTTGAACACTGAGTGAGTGCTCTTCCTGGGACTGGACTCAGTCTTCACACAAGCACAGAAGCTGCTCAGTAAGTCTCCGAATCAGAATCATTGAGTTCATCCTCTTCTGTGTATGGGTAACCATCTTCCCTGCCAATGTTGTTGAAACTGCAGTAAGAGCTATGCTCACTGCGCATGATTGGCAAGGGGTCAAAGGTGACGGTCTTTGAGGTGTTAGTGTAATGATTAATGGCACTGAACGTTAGGGACGGTATTGTGCTACTTGATGAAATAGGCATCATGGTGGCCAGAATGAGGGCTAGACAATCAGCCACATCCTTATTGGGAGCACAGGCCAAAGCTGGGGTATATCCTAGAATTAAACATAAAAGGAAATCCTTAAAATAGACTTTATTCAAAGTTTCTCAGAAATCATAGGATCACCCGTCTTAATATATGCCTAAAATACGAAGGACTGATTTTTGTACCTTGATGAAACCACCATTTTGTTGGTATGCATACTTCTTCCACTGATGAATAACCCAACCCCTTCAATACTTTTTTATCCTGTATACACATATTTAAACTTAATTTATAAATATTATTATCAATGGATTTTAAAGCTAGGACTTCAGAGAGTTAGCTCAACTCTCTCATTTTACAGATGAAAAAAACTGAGGCTTAGTGATTTGTTTACTGTCACAGAGATAGTTAATGTCAGTCAATAAACATTTATTAAGTACTTCTACATGCCATGCACTGTGTTAAGGACCCAGGATACAACAAAAGCCAAAAACAGCTATTGCCCTCAAAGACCTAACATTCCAATGAAGGAGACAATATGTAAACAGCTAGCTAACTGCATGACCTATAGAGAGGAGACTCAAAGTAATCTCAGAAGCTAAGTCACTAACATCTGAGGGTCCATGAAAAGGCTCCTGCAGAAAGACAGCATTGAACTGAGTTGCAAAGAAAGCCAGGGACACTAAGAGGCCTAAGGGAGAGCAGTGTATGAATGAGAGACAGTGCACAGAGATGGGAGATGAAATATTACGTACAGGAAACAGAAAATGGGCCAGTGAAGCCGGGTCAAAGGGTGGTGCAGTGGAGAGAGCACTGGGCCTGGAGTCAGGAAGACCCAAGTTCAAATCTGGCCTCAGATACTTCCTAGCTATGTGACCCTGGGCAAGATACTTCATGCTGCTTGCCTCAGTTTCCTCATCTATAAAATAAACTGGAGAAGGAAATGGCAAACCACTCCAGGATCTTTGCCAAGAAAACCCCAAATGATGCCACGGAGAGTCAGACAAGACTTGAACAACAGCTGGGTCACAGAGCGGACTGTGGAAGGGAATAAAGCATAAGAATGGAAAGGTAGGAAGGGGGGCAGGTTGTTCATGAAGAGCTTTAAATGCCCCAAAAGACAACCTGATACTTGATCCTGGAGGCAAAAGGAGCCACCAGAGAGTATTTACAAGAAAGCCGAGGGGTCTGGGGAGGTAGACAGAACCCAGCGTGTGTCGCTCCACATACCATGCTGGTTTTCTTACGAATCCCCCACTGCTGCTAAAAGATTCTGGACAGCTGTGATAAGAATAGAGGAACACTGCTCCCTGCCTCCACGCTCACACACTATCACTCCTGCCCTGAAGCAAACAGCAGCAAACTCTCCTGGTGCCATCAGAGCAGGCTGAGTCCAGGCTGATGACACATTCTCTACACTGACTCCTGACGACCACCTCCCACCCCTGCCTCGGTGCCCGCTGTCCATGCATGCATTGCTGCCTCCCCTCACTTTCACCCCACGGAGCCTTAACTGTCCTCAGGGACGTGCTCTAGAACCACTTATCTAAAGAGGCTGCTCCTGATGAGCCCATTTCCACCCCACTGCCCCGCTGAAGATCCCAGATGCAGAGCCATGAGCGACCCTGGCGGTCACCTCGAGGAGAAGCCAGGCCCCTCTGGCTCTGAATCTGGCATTTCTCCTCCATACCACTCTGGTCTCAGAGCCACACCATGATCTGCTCTAAAGCTCCAGTGACTCCCTAAGGTGTCCAGTAAAATACCAACTCCAAGCCTGGCGTCTAACCCTCTCTCTGAGCTCTGCTGTAAGCTTCTGCTATGGTGCTGTCTATCAAACATGCCATGCCGCAGGGCTCACTCACTCCTTGCACATTTCCACTTGTTGAAATCCTGTGTTTTCCTTCAAGGCCCAGCTTGGGCACAACTTCCCTCCCTGGGGCTTCCCAGATGTACCTCCTCAGATGAGAGCTTTCTGCCCACATCCCCGTCTTCACTGTCTCATGTTTATTTGTCTATGTGTCTTAGCCCTTCAGTCAGACAGACTGCAGGCTCTTGGAGGGCAAGCAGAGTGCTGTTTTTCATTTCTGTAACCTCAGCACCAACTGAGTACAGACATACATATGAATACTCTGTAGTCACGAACTTGAGGCATCTGAAGAACCTCCCTGAGTCTGGCCACTAACCCTTCTCCTAGAGGCTGGTGACTCTAGGGCCAGAACTGAAGCACACCATCAATGCCTTTGGATGGACTGAGAAGACAGGGCCACATCCTGCTAAGCCAGGGCACTGCTCCAGGTGCCAAGTGGCTGCCCAGGACTCCCAGGCTGCACACTACAGAAGCACCTACAGTGAGGGCATCAGACCCTTCTCACTGCAAGTTTCCACAATGACACAAATCACAGATCCTTGGTACATTCACTTTTTCAAATGAAAGATGCTGATTTATAAAATGGCAAAAGTTAAGTCAATACAGGCTTAAGAACTAGGAAATACCCTCTAACCAATTACTGAGACCCCCCGATCTGTCTGCCTGCCTTGATTCTCTCCCACTCCAGGCCATCTTCCACTCAGATGTCAAACTGACCCTCCCGAAACACAGGTTTGACCCAACAACAAATGCCAGGGGCTTCCTATGACTTTCAGGATCTGTCTGCTTTTAAAATCCTTTACAGCCCACCTCTGCCTCCCCTTTCCAGTTCACTAACTCCTTACTGCTCTCCACGTCCTCTGGGATCCAGTGACCCAGGCCTTCCTCCTGACTCGGGGCACTTCCATGGCTGCTGCTCTTCTCTCCCTCCTCATCTTCTCCTCCTGGCTTCCTTCATGTCTCAGTGAACGTCCCACTTTCTGCAGGAACACTTTCCCAACCATCTATAATCTCTCTCTCTGGGTTTATCTTGTCTATAGCTCGTCTGTACAGTTGTTCACATGTCATCTTCCCCACCAGGCTGGGGGAGCAGGAAAATGTGTGTGTGTGTGTGTGTGTGTGTGTGCGCACGCGAGCGTGTGCATGTGTGCGTGCATGCGCATGTGTGTGCGCATGTGCGTGTGCGCGCGCACATTTGTTTTGCCTTTCTTTGTACCATCCAGAGCTTAGTGCAATGCCTAGCACACAGTAGGTGCTTCATGTTCATTGACTGACTGACCAACATGGTATAGTCACTATCTGCTACGTACATCTACTAGCAGAGATTTCCAAATTATACTTAGGTGGCTCAACTTTACTTAACATATGTTAAAAACATGTCTTTTAAAAATTAAATTTACTAGGGCAACTAGGTGGCACAGTGGATATAGTACCAATCCTGGAGACAGAAGGACCTGAGTTCAAATCCAACCTCTGACACTTGACAATTACTAAGTCAACTACACACACAATTACAATGTGTGACTCTGGGCAAATCACTTAACCCCAACTGCCTCACACACAGAAACAGTTAAATTTACTACCTTCTAAAAATAAAGGTACAGTATAAATTTATATTTTGATACATGCACAGAATTAATAAAATCAATTCAGATGATAAATGATAATTATCAACTTTATTTAGAAGCCTTTATCAGATTTCAGAAATCTTTCAGTTCATTAGCTGGGAATTTTCTAATTTCTTTTGTCCTACTAACTTCTTGGTGTTAATATCTTGCAGGCTGTACTCAGAAGAAGCAAGAACTCTAGACTTTAAGAGACAGAGAGATGATATTTGTGAGTCTAGACTCTCTGACGTAATTATGTGGCCCCAAGGAGTCAACCTCTCTGAGCTTTACTTTTTTCATTTTAAAATATGGACTACAAAATTACAGATCCTCAGAGGATACAAGAGTACCCATAACTGATTTAAAAACATCTCTACAAAATCCCTACCAAATAGTAACTTTTATTTTGCTTGAAGACTTGTAGCATGGGAGAAATCTCTTTCTTCTAGGGCAAACCATTCCACTTTGGGGCTAGCTCTAATCGTGGTATTTTTTCCTTTCTACTGAGACTAAGTATCTGCTTCTCTATAACTCTACCCACCGCTTCTATTGCTTCTTGGCCAAGTTAAGAAAGTCCAGTCTTTCTCCTACATAACAGCCCTTTATATATTTAAAGGATCTTAAGTTTCTCTGACCAATCTCAGTATGATTTCAAGACCTTTCCTGATCTTGGTCACCTGTGTCTACAAGGATCTGAAGGAGAAAATAATCCTCCCACTACTTGCCTTCCTGTAAAGAAAGGGATTTATAAATGCTGAAGCGCTGCAGAAATGTGAATGATTAGTATCATTACTCAATAATAATGATTTTGTCCCCCTTTGCCAAACAACAGAGGCTCACCTCACATAAAATGCAGACTACCCCCAAGGAACTGAAGCATTTAAATCATTATTTAAATTCAGATTTACATCAAATAATGAGACTCCTTACCATTTTCATCTACAGCAAGCACACTTGCTCCTTTCCCCAAAAGTTCTTGTACTACGACTGTGAGTCCATTTCTGGCAGCAACATGTAAGGGTCTGAAAAAGCAGACAAATGTGGTTGATCGAGAGTAATTTTACAGTAGAATGGAAAAAAGAAAATCTAGTTGACTAAACTGTTACTTTATAAATGAAATGATAAACATGAGCATATGTCTAGAATAGTCTATGAGATACTGAGTGTCAGACCAGATGCCAACGTGGTGAACGCAGAGTATGAGTCTATACTTAATTCAATCTTTTCTTGAGTGAATCTCACTTAAACATCACTGACAAATGACCATCTAAGTATCTACCTGAATAACTCCAATGATGGAAAAGGGAACTCACTACTTACTGAGGCAGCCCAATCTACCTTAAAGAAATCTAACTGTCTGACAGTTTTTCCTAATGTAGAGTTTAAATCTGCCTGCCTGCAACTTTCATCCACTGGTCTTTCCTGTAACACCATAAACTACCATCAGGAAATATATGTCAGGAAGAGAACATATGCTGGTCAGATGGCAAAAGCACGGGATGACTGCCCAAGTGCTGTTCCAACAGATATTTTACCAATTTTGGGTCTTGCAAGAGTGCCATCTGAGGCCAAAGGACCTCGGGACAACTGCGAGTGTCTGAAGACAGGGATCATGTTCTTTTATTTCATCTCTTTCTCAAGCTAAACGTCCTCAATTGCTTTGATCAGTATGATCAGTCCAGCTCTGGCAACTCATCACATCACCTTATTCTAGGCATACCCCAATTTGTCAGAACAACTCCAGAAATGCACAGGCCTGACTGACCATGTCCCTCCCTACTCCATAAGCTTGGGTGATGTCCTATCACCAGCCTGTTACAACCTGGCACCAACTTGCTCTTCTGACGGAATCAGGCCCTACTCCTTTTCATGCTCCAGGCTCTGACCTGGCTAGAGTGGCCTCCTTACCCTCAGAATGGAGGCTCTCCTAACCTGCTGCTCTGCCAGCACCTTGCCCCCATGCAGACTGGCGCTGGCTCTGCACACGACGACACTGGGTTTCCCCTGATTGTCATCGAAGGCCGAGCTCATACCCTGAAGGGAGAGAATGACGGCTTCATGTTCTTCTCCCCAGACCTTCACACAGAGTTGAGCAGCACATGGCAAGCACTTAATAAATGCTTATTTTCTGTCTGGTCCCTATTAAAATTTCACCATGTTAGTTTCAGCTCACAATTTCAATCTGTCAACATATTCCTGTGTAACATTTCTTACATCTACTATATTAGTGTAGCCCTTCCTATGTTATCACATCTATACATTCTGTAAGAACAGATGTTTGCTGTGTCCCTACTATGCTCAAGGCAATTATCTCATTTGAATCTCACAACACTCAGAGATAGGTGCTATTTTTATCCCCATTTTACAGATGAGGAAACTGAGGCAAATAGAGGTTAAGTGACTTGCCAGGGGTCACATAGCTAATTAGTGTTTGAGGCTGGATTTGAACTCAGGTATTCCCAACTCCAGGTGCTCTATCTACCAAGCCTTTTTTATTTTAAAAAAAAAAAGTTTTATGGGTGCTTTCATTTATTTATTTTGGACCAGGCCTGAGATTTCACTACTGGGCAGATAGATGGCTCAGTAGATTTCTAGTCAAGGAACACATTACACTGAATATCATGATTTGTTAAGGTAATTCTTCAAGTAATGATTCTTTCAGCATCTCTAAATATTTAAATGGCATAAAGAAACATTTTAAACATTCTTATAAAGTTTAAGATTAAAATAATCTTCAGTAACATATCTTTATAGATGATTCTGGATAAAACATTTCAAAAATGTTATGAATATCCCCAGCTGGAAAAAAATCAAATTTTACCAGTTACAATAATTTATGAAATGTAACTACTCAGCCAACTAATCCACACACACAAAATTCACTAATTACTTTACATTTGTATGCTGGTATATCAAAGTTGAAATGAGAAATACTCACGTTTGCAAAGCTGCATTGGTTGCATTAATGAGGTTTCTATCTGTTATCTTCTCCAGAATTAACAAGGCACTAGTTTCATGACCCTAAAAACAGAATCAATAATTTTCTTTTTGAAAACTTAATCCTTTAATGACAAATTCTATGTGTACCATGTATTCAAGACCTTACCCTGGTTAACAGTTAGTGAACAGGTCTTGATTGTTTTAACAGACATTTATTTTGGAGGGTAATAGGTTTAAGTGAGGGTTGCTACCCTGATTACAGTTTTCAACACATCAAAATATTTCTATTGACATACATATATATATATGTATATGTATATGAAAACTGATTTAAGTGATCAATGATATAAATTTTGCCCCAAATAATTTTAAAGTTCATTTTTACTGCATTGTAAAATATTTCCTAATAATTCTATATATAGTATTCAGTGATATCACTGCTTAAAATAATGATTTTTAAAAATGAAAACATGTATCTACCTTACTGCATGCCAAATGGAGTGCTGTGTTTTTACTGTTATCCTGTAGAGTAAGGTCTGCATTAGCACTGCTAACCAGCATCTCTGTGGAGAAGAAGGGAATTAGAGGGAGGGGAAATTGCAGCAATTCTTACAGAAGGAACATTACCTCAGTATTGTAATCACTCTCTGAACTGAAGAATAGAAAATAAAAAGAACAAATTATCTATAGCAACAGCACTTATGTTTATAAAATATAAGCAAAACTATTCAATCAGACTTGGAAACCTTAACTTTCTCAATCAAATGGAGCAAATTAAAACATCAGTTCAGTGACTAAAAATTTGGTTAGCGAGGTTTGTAAACTTCAGTAGCAAACACCAATACTCTGCTCATCCTCAAACCACTGATCCTGCCCTTTCCTGTAGGAGGCCACTTTCAATCTCAGGCATTACATGCAATTAATAGGATTTATAGGAATATTAAAATTTCTAGGTCATTTCTTTACCAACAGTATTTGTCTGTCCATTTTCTGCAGCCATCATCAGAGGTGTTTTTCCAGAAGAATCTACAGAATTCACTTGAGCATTATGGCTGAGGAGCAGCTGCAAACATTCTACATGATCTGTGAAGGCCGCTGCATGAAGAGGGGTTCTGCAATACAGCAAAGTTCACAATTATTAATGTGCCATATTTTTTATTTCTAGAATAAAAACTATTCAACAGTTTTGCAGAATTTGAGAGCTGTGAAAGAACTTTGAGATATTTGGTTCACTCATCTTCCCCAATAACCAATTCTCCAATTTTACAAATTATTAAATTAAGGCTGAGAGGTTAAATTTAAGTTCATACTGCCAGCAAATGGTACAGATCTGAATCTCTCCTGATTCTCAGTTCAGTACTCTTTCCAAAACTTTCAAAGACTACAATAAAATTAACATCAGGATACAAACTGGTTGACAAATTACTTGGAACATCCCTCCCCCATTCTTTCTACAGTAACATTTATGTGTTAGTAACTCAAGTGGACCTTGTATGAGAAATGGACTGGCACACAAGAAATCATATTTTTAATTTTGTTATTGACCTTATTTGTCTAACAAATAAGCTTCTAAGAAAAAACTGAAGAAATCTTTCCACTTGTTCAACAGTAAACAGAAACTGTTTAGTCAATAAAAATAAGTTTCTAGTATAACACGCTATCCTGAATTCTAAAAGGTTTAAAAAACACTTATGCATGTTTACCTGAAAAATGACATTTTAATAACAAACAATAACAAGAGCTAAAATATTAAGACTATTTTTATAAAAAGCAAACTGTTACAGGTGAATTCCTACCTTCCTTTTGTATCTGTTGAATTTACAATGCCAGTGCCCAATGTATCAATTAACATTTCAGCAGCACTTTCATTATCATTTATCCTATGAAAAACAACAATCTGGTTACTCAAGGCTTGAGAGAATTTATTTTTAGTGTCATAAGCAAATGTGATTTATTTTGGTTTTCTTACACAGCACAATGTAATGGGCTGAAAGAATTTCCTTCCATTTTCTGGAAGACCTCCTGTTCCAAGAGAAGTTCGACACACGTTTCATGTCCTAAATAAGTTTGAAAAATCAGATATTAAAATCCAAAGTTATTAAAACTAAATGTGTTGTAGAGCTTAAAACATTAAAAAGACCAATTTATTAAATTGTTAAGGCAGCACACCATGTTCAGGTATCTGGTAATCAGATGAAACTTTAAGACCCCCTTGAAATTAGAACAGCAGCAGCGGGCAGCTTCTCAACATTTTACAATGTTACTACTATCACTGGCTCTCTTTTTTTTTTTTAAAGTTTGAAAATTTTTGCGTTGATATGTGTACATCACTACGTCCGAATATATCCCTTCCTCCTTCCCTAACCATCAAGCCACTGCTTGCAACAAAGAATTTACAGAATAAAAAGCAGTTCAGCAAAACCAAGTCAAGTAAACAAGTGTTAATTAAGGAAAAACTATGTCCCTGGAACCATTCTAAGGGCTGAGGATACAGATACAAGCAAAAAAGAAAAACAGTCCCTCCTATCAAGGAGTTTACATTCCAATGGGGGAAAATAAGACATAAAAGATACTGAATCATCAGAAGCAGAGTGGGGAGAGAAGGATGGCTAACTGGCCTGGACCTTCCCCTGGATGAAAGCTTCTGGACAAACTCACCAATGAGAACACAGGGTGCAGAGGCCATATGTGCTCTGGGCACCCTCTGGATTAGAAGGCAGATGAGCCACGGTAGCAACATCCAAAGAGTAAAAAGCAGAGATGGAAGAGGAATGAAGTTTGGCCTGCCTGTGCCCTTCTTAAGCCATCTACTGTATTTGACACTATTTGCAGTGGGGGTGTGTGTGCATTTTCTCCCCTCTTTTCCATGGCAAGAGGATGAGTTTAGTTTTTGAGGCCCAGAATAATTAAGTATGAAGATGTTTATCACCAGTAGGCTGGGTACTTCGTGATGAAGATATTACTTACAGAGGGGTAAAGTTGGAAGAGATGGTTTTGTTGTATGTCCAAAGACATCAAGAAACATTATTTCATGGGACACTGTCATCTCATACTGTGGGACTCATAATAATCACTTGTGAAAAGACGACCATGAAAATAACTGTGACATTCACTAACATTGGTTTCAAAGGATGAAGAAAATTCTATGAAAAATTTGATAAGACTCATCAAATTAAAGCTTCACACCTTTATACCATGAACATAACTCAGTCTCAGAAAGAGAAACTAAATAAGCTTTGGGAGTTAAAATGAACTCCCAAAGAAAAAACCCTGGGACTAGATTGGGACCAAATGAAGTCTATTCATCATTTAAGAAATAAGTACTTCCAATGTTACATAATTACATGAAAAGGGATCCTATCAAGTCTCTTTATGATATGAACACAATATAACTGAATAGAAACACTTTATATATGGATGTGTGTGTGTGTGTGTGAGAAAAGATAAAACAAGATGGAGGAGCAAAAAGAAAATTATCTTTTGGATCTATACATAGAAGAGTTCATGGCCACAAGGGACAGAGATGATCACAGAAGACAAATGAACAATTTAATTTCATAAAATTAAAAAGATATTGTATAAACAAAACCAATGCAGTTAAAATTAGAAAAGAAACAGCTGGGGAAAAATCTTTGCAGCAAGTTTCTCTGATAAAGGTCTCATTTCTAAGATAATTAAGGAATTGATTAATTTAAAAGAAAAAGAGCCATTTCCCAGCAAATAAATGGTCAAAGGATATGAACAGAGTTCAAAGGAAGAAATTGAGGTAATCAGCAAAGATACAAAAAAATACTCCAAACTTCATTACTTGAAGGAAGAGAAAAAGTTGCAAAGTTGTTGGCAAGACCAATTCACAGCTCTACCAATGGCGCGTGATTAATGTTTTTCTTTAGCCATTCTAAGATTTGATTTCCATTTTTATCATCTTTGCCAATCTCATGCATGTGAGGAAGAGCCTCAGAGTTGCTTTAACTGGCATCTCTCTAATTATTAATGATTTGGAGTATTTTTTTATACTCCTAACTTCCTCCCTATTAGTTAAAGATCTGGTGTCCTTACAACCACTATTTATCCAGTCTTCCAGATGGATCCCTTCCCCTTTTTCACACAGTCATCACCTTCAGACTCTCATTACCTCTTGCCAGGCCTATTAGAATGGACTTATAATTGGTCTACCTACCTTGTCTTTCCTCATTCCAATTCATCCATCCTCCAAAGAGAGGGCAAAATGATTTTTCTTAAGCACAGGTGTGAACAAATTCCAGTGGCTCTCTATTACCTTTTAGGATCAGATCCTCAGTTCAGCTTCTAAGGGCATTCACAATCCAGATGCAAGCTGTCTTTCCATGCTTCCCATGCCCCTTCCCACACTCTCTGATTTGGGCATGCTTTCTCCCTGTTCCTCACACACACAGCCCATCTATTCAATCTCCATGCCTTTGTACTGCAGTGTGCACCTCCCAAAGTTTCTGACCTCCACTCAAACACCACTTTCTCGGCTTGAAGGATTTCCTGATCTTCCTATTTTTAGCACTGTCCTCACTTAACAACCTTGTATTTCCTTGTATTATGTACATATTTGTCTCCCTCATTAGGAGTAGGTATTGCTTAATTCTTTGTACATGTATCCTCAGTACCTAGTACAGTGGCCAGGCACAAAGTAAGTATTTAATGAATCTTTGCTGATTGATATATCTATTTCAGTTGTGGAAAAGATACCAGTGTAAGGAAAGAAATTATTGGAGACAAAATAGGTAAATTTGATGAAACAAGCTTTTGCACAACAAACATATAATGCATTTGTATTAAGGGAAAAAATCTTTAGGGGGGAAATATGACAAAAAACCTGACATCCAGAATCTGTAAGAACTGATATGAATGTATAAAAGCAATCATTTATCTACTGTGAAAGGGATCAAAGATTATGAACAGGCAGGTTTTTTTGTTTTTTTTTCAGCTTTAATATTTTTTATTAATTTATTTTGATTTATCAATCATTTCCACAAGCTTTTGAGTTTAAAATTTTTCTCCTCCTTCCTCCCCATCTCCCCCCTCAAGACGGCTCGCAATCTGATATAGGCTATACATATACATTCCTATTAAACATATTTCACATTACTGATGTTGTAAGTAAGAATTTGAAACCAATAGGAGGAACCACTAGAAAGAGGAAACAAAACACAACAGAAGAAAAAAAATAGTAAATAGTATGCTTCGATCTGCATTCAAACTCCACAGTTCTTTCTCTGGATGTGGACAACATTTTCTTTGGAGATGTCTTAGATTGTTGCACTGTGAACAGGCAGGTTTTTAAGGAATGTTAATAATCACCTGAAAATATCTATTCATATACTATCCTAAGAGAAATATTTCTTACAATGTCTGAAACACAATATTAAACTCACATATGGGCATAAGTAGCTTTGAGACAATGAAATTCAATGTTGGTGGGGCAGATATCATATCATGCGCTACAACTGGAGGAAGGCCAAGGATGGAGACAAGGCAATCCTTTTAATCCTCCTTAACGGATTGCCTCCTCATTCATCACAAGCACTTTCCGAACCTTTTCTGCTCTCCTCAAACCTCCACCTGATCTACCCTGTCCCCAGCCCATCTGCCCTCCCCCCATCTCCCAGACTGTGCTGTGGCCCCACTGCTCTCCGTGCCTAGAAGGCTTTCCCTTCTAATTGAGCATCTTAGACTCCCTGGCTTCCTTCAATCCTGCAAAGCTCAAATGCCACCTTTTGTACAAGAGGCCACCCCACCCCACCACCTGCTAGTGTTTTCCCTTCTAAGGTTAAACTTCCATCCTTTCAGTGTGCACCTCAAATATACCCATTTATATACATGTTATCCCCCTCATTCAAATGTAAGCTCCTAAAGGGCAGGGCCTATTCTGAATTTTTCTTTGTATCCTCAGAGTTTAGCATAATGCCTGGCAGATGAGGTGGTTAATGTTAATGGAACTTCCAGAGTCACTTTATATTGATCAGATTTTGTTTTCTTATAGGGGGCAGAGAAACAAATAATCATAATTTATTAAGCACCTAAGACTTATCAGGTATTATGCTAAGCAGGAGATTAGATGGAAAAAAAAAATAAAGTTCCTGCCCTCAGGAGTCTTACATTCTTATGAAGGAGACACAGTATCATCAAGGAAAAGTGAATATATACGGTTTATATACAACATACAACCAATGGCAGTGGTGAAGAAATTAAATTGACTGTGCCATTTTATAACTGACCTTATTCTGTAGTGCTGCCCCATTCTGCATGATTGTTCAAACCACATTTTCTTTGTCTCTTTGCCTACAGGCTAAGTTTAGAAGTCCAGTTCTCCTGCTGATCACTGTCTTAGTCTTGGCTTGAGAGATTCAGGTGCATACCAGGGAGTCTGGGTTCACTATCTCTAACCTTGCCGGCAAACTCAAACAATGAACATTTCTATAGTCAAAGGAGTTCAGTTTCCTCTCTTGAGTTAAAAAGAAAAATGGTTATCCCTCACACCTTCGAATCCTGTAAAATTTTAAACTATTATCTTTGAAGGCCTACAAGCTGACCTGGCACGTTTCCACAAGATATACTGTCCATCCTTGCCTGTCCTTGTATCTCCCTTCTAGAAGCCAGGAAGTCTGTTATTCCTGGTCTACTATCCATGGCCTTAGGCACAGATGGATCCCATAAGTCAATCAAGCATTCTTCTAAGACACACAGCTCCATGAGTGCTAGCCCACTTCTCTTAATGTAACCAATCATGTTGTCCTCACTCTTATGATGCTGGCAACTCTGTAACCAACTGTATTATCTTCCTCACCCACCCTGTTCTATTTTTTGTTCTCTTTTACTTCCCAAAACTATGTGAAGGCTAGTAAGTCCTACCTCCTGGTCTCTGGTCACTGAGAAAAGTCACTGAACTAATTTTTTGGCCCCTGCTAGCCCAATTAATACATTTATCACACTCTGATCATTGTTTCTCAGTTTACTTCATTTTTCAAAGGTTAACGGCAGAAACATTAATAGCTGGTGAAATCAGAAAAGGTCTCTTTAGGAAGGT